TTTGTGCTCATGTTACATTAATGCAAGTGTTATCTGATGTTTATGGTTTTCCTGGAAATGATGAAAGTGAAGAAAATGTGTGTCATGTAACCAAGTGATCATTGAAACAGTCTCCCTTGGTAAAACAAACAAACAAACATAAACACAGTCGATCATTTCCTATGCCTCATAGGTTGCAAAGATTCAAGAAACTGAAGATAGAGTAGGTAGAGGGAAAACTGTAACTGGTGATAATAGGTGTTGGGCCTTCAGTTGTTTTGTTTTATTGACTCATGGCTCTCTCTTGATGATCATAAGGTAAAACAGGATAAACTTAAAACAAATAGAACCAATTTCTGAACATTTCAAAATGTACCCAATCCCAAAACACTTGCTTTGGTGATGCAGATGCCTCTCTGTGTGCACAGGGGTGTCTTTATCTACCACTAGTTCAATGTCTACGAAAACTACTGTAGCGATTTGAATTTATAATAAATGTCTGAAGATTAATATTTGATAATAATCTTCATTTATGACACTTTTGCACTGGTTGAAGGGGCACCACCCAACTTTAATGGTGGGAAAATAAAGAAAAACAAAATTTTTAACTTAGAAATCAAACATTAAGTTAATCTTCAATTAATCAATCTCATATCTGAAGCTGAAATTCTCATTTCAGGGACTCCACTTCACTAACAGTAACAGACAAGAACCTAGAAAAATAAATGATCTGTTTATTACAGGATAAATGATGGTACAACATCCATGCAAGAAATGAGGATAAGATGAATATAGATAATCACAGATGTGTGGCGTGTGGTGTATTTTGAGGACCCAGAAGCAGACATAGAGGCAGATAGCAAATTAAGATGTAATTTTAATGTCCAAACTCAGGGGTAAAGGCAAAAGAGAAAGTCCGGTTGGCTGGCTGGCTGTTGTGTGGGCTGGAGACACTGCGGAGAAAACAGAGGAGATGGAAGTGAGTAGACATACAATGAATCACAGAGAGCAAAGTTACAAGCACTTATTCGAAAGGAAGGCCAGGAGACGCGTCTGTACCACTCAGCAGCGAAGACAATACTCAGACACTGAAACTGAGGGCTGCTGGCTTCTTAAAGTGCCTTGATTGCAGATTCAATGCAGGTGTGTAGTCTCACTCAGCCTCAGCGACTGGGGAGGGGGAGGATGCTCTGGAAAAGAGTCAAGCCAGACCAGGAAAACGAAGAAAAACAGGAAGTCCAACCAAAATAAAACAAACGGAGGAGGCGTCTCACCAGATGAATGTAAGATTCTGAGTGGGGCTAAGACTACTAAAGTTAATGATAGTGAGTGAATTTACTCTTATATCTACTCTTTACATATTAACCTACATTAACTTTGGTGTAAAGGTAAATTTAGATGTGGTTATCTGAATTATGAAGCATGAGACAGCATCAGCCCTGTTTGGAGCTCTGGACGTTTGGATACTTAAGTGAGGCTGGTCCTTGGAGAAGATGGAGCAGGTTCAGCTCTAAAGAGGACTGAAGTTAGATGAAGGACAGGCTGGGAGTCACAGCACACAGGCCCAAATGCAAAAACCTATGCCTTATGGATCCTGTTGAATGCTCCTTTGGTCTCACTGCAACACTCTGGCTCAGAGGATGACTTTGGGCCTGCTGGGTGGCGTTCAGAGGTGACTTGTCAATCATGCAGATAACCAAGAAAAAGAGACTCGATGACCAGTTGAAACTTTTTAAAAAATGGCTTTGCGAAATTAAAGAAAAATCATTTATGGGCTTAATCTTGAATTGCTATACGGACAAAGAGTTAAAGTTTCACAACTTGAACTAAGACGATGGTAAAGAAAAATCAAACAACATAAATGAACACGTGGCGGAAAATTTAAAAGACTTAAAAATTAAGACGAAGAGAAAACAAGAGAGTAAAAACAAGAGAGCGAGCACCCCAGCTTTACTGGTTTTATACTCTTCAGACTGGGAGTGTCTGTAAGGTGTGAGGAGAGAAAGAAGGGGGTCCTGATCTCCAGCAGCAGCTTCCTGAGAGGAGACTTTCAAGAGCCCTGATGTTTGATCCAACTTATACTTTGGCTAGTAAAGGAGTCAGATCAAATATCCACTCACTATGATTAATTTAAGGAATGCTTGATTCATAATAAAGGATTTGATGCTTAACACAGATAAAGAATTGTAGAATCACATTAACAAACATTCTCATTATGCTTTGAGTACCACTTTTCAAAGAACATTGATCATGTTAAATTACTCTGAAATGAAACAGATAGTAACACATAGAAACTGTGAATAACACAAGGGTAAACCCATGTAAATGAACTTCAAAACAGTTAATAATGGATTCTACAAACCAACATTCAGATTATTAACTAACAGTATAACTACCTAATGGTTAATAAAGCTAAACAAATGATTAAGAGATAAACTAAACATTTCTCACTATTCCTACGAGAATAGGGTTGTAATTCAAACATAATATCTTCAGCTCTTAAAAGTTCATGACAGATGACAGTTTGGAAAGCTGTGGACCTCAAGAAACTTAAAGACTGAAGGATTTATTCTGTCAGTGTGAGATCTTGGCTTATGAACATGATAGGCAAATGGGACAGACTGTTTTACTGCACATTTTGAGTACTGACAGAAAATGATGGTGTCGAGTCCATCCAACCTGTAATTGGACTAGTCGTAGTTACTCTCTTTGGATTGTACTCACAGAGAGCATAGGAAAGATCAACCAAAGTTGATATACCAAAGGATATGGCTGAGCTAATAAACCTGACGCTACCCAGTCAAGGTGTGATGCCAGATGTTTATCTGATCGAGTGGTCCTGCAGTTCTTTCCTGCTGGCCATAAACAGTGTCTTTGTCTCTTTGAAGTAGAAAGGATAGAGGTTTTGTCCTTTTGGGAAGGCTTCTTTGGTTATCTTGTATAGAGACACGATGTTGTAGAAGGATTGTTATTTGGTGTTAAAGGTTTACACCATCTTTTCTCCGGTGAGCAGATGTAGGCCTTACATTCTTTTGGGGGGTTGGGATGTGAAAGTGGTTGGCTCTGTTACACTACCATTTCAAATTTTAAAGACAACGTTCTCATGGGTCAGTAGATACTTTGCCAGTGGTTTCTCACACCCTTAGCAAAAATTCACTCTTGGATTTCACCCTCCTTTGCAAAAAAGGGTGGCATAGATCTATGCAGCCTTTTGCCACTAAGAATATGAAGAACTTTATTAAACCCCGAAGGGAAATTAAATTGTCTGTAGTCTCATTTGTCATGTCTCTGAAAGTCATCTAATAACTACAGAAGAGTTGTCTGATGGCTGTGGGAACAAAAATCAAATTTTGTCAAATTTTTTTTTTACACTTGTCAAATTTTCTGTTTAAGTCTTGATTATGGTTTCAATTATCAAATATTACTTGTTGCTTTTTTCCTCCATATTAACACATTTTCCCTATTACTGTGTACAGCCAGTGTATAGATCACTTATCAGTGCAGAAAAATTGCTGTTACAACACATGTTCATGCAGTATGCAGTACCCATAGTAGCTGTAACTTTACTCATTTTTCTCTGAATCTAATAAAGTCATTAAAAAATATAGGTTTGTATTCCAGGCAACATTAAAAGTTGATTTGATTACACTGCAAAAAAAAACCCCACAATAATCTATTAGTGACTATCATAAAATATTAACAGGGTATATATTTAAGGGCATGTTAAAAATGTCTTATAATAAAAAAAGACACGCTTCATTTTGTAATTATGACCAATGTTTATTTGATGACTTATATTTCTTAATCAGTACAATAAAAATATTGAATTACATTCTCAGAGCTTCCTTTTTTTTCCCACTGCTGGTGTTTTAAGCATAAGAATTTGGTGGGACCACACAATATTCACACAAGAAATCAAAGAAATAAACATGCCATACCTTACATTCAACTATACCTGCATAACAAAGAAACTGTGTGTAACTGAGAGAGGGGGGTCACAGTGCCAGTGACCAGAAAGTTAAGGCTAACTAAACCATTCAAATGACACAGAGAATGAAAACCTGGTACAATATCTTTGCATACATCAACAGCACCAGCAAAAAAGAGAGCTAAAGATCTCCAAATATCAAAGTGACGGTATCAACACAATAAAAACACTCAAACAAACAAAAAAAAAATAAAGAAAAATCCAGAAGGCTGGTAAACACATAGGTTTAAGGTTGTTTGTTTGTTTTACAAAGTACATGTTCTGCAAGGTGCTCCACATGAAGAAAATGCTGACCCATTGTCTATACACATATGCAGCATATACATCAAACAATGTTATAAAAAGAAAGACAATTTAACAGGTTAAACACAATTAAAAGCAAGGAAATAAAAGCAGGTCTTAGCGTCTTTCTTAAAATCCTCAAAAGCCAACAAGCTCCATCTGGAGAACCGGAGAGTCTGGTGTTTGCAGCCTCAAGAAAATCTACATATGAAACGCATATTAAAGGTTATCTGATCTCAGGACGCAAGATCATAATAATCTTTCCAAGCTAGTCTGAACCCTCATTTTACACAGTAACCCAACAAGAGATTCACTTTTACTGGTCAATATGAAAAACAGAGACAGAGAGTAACCCTAACCTCACCAATAATAATATTAGTGCATGAATAACTTCCAGATCAGAGGGTTAGGTTCTAACCTTAGCTAAGGCTCTAAGTTTAGAAAGGCTAAAAAAAAACTGTATGTACCTTTTCACTGAAACTTAACTCTATTTATTAACCAAGTAAATCAAATATTTATCTCAATAGTGCCCACCTTTGTGCCAGTCCAGTCTACCTATGGGAATGTCTCTGGAGCACACATTGAGCGCAGGTTGAGCAGGTGTATGAACAGTATGTACAATCACCACTGTGCAGATGGAGGGCAGACTCACAACAACACTTGTTTGTTGTTTTGTTTTTTCTTCAGGAGAAAGAAAATGACTTCTGCATGATGAGAGCTGCAAATATTTCAGGATATTTCTTTAAACATTCTACACCCGTGGCGTAATTGTGTGAGAAACAGAGACGCCTACAGTCATTTCCTGCATGGCAGCGCTCTCTGGTGGGACCACATTGTCAATATTCACTGCAGATGTGTGACTGTCATTGCTCTCCTCTTTGCAACAACACACAGAGGCCAACAGCTTGCCCATGGTGGCCTTTCTGATGAAAATATACAGAACTAAGTCTGCAAGAGGACTCAACCTTATGAATAAATGACTACGGCTATGTGTTAAAGAACTGATACTAATTCCAGCCTCCTCTACAAGAAACAAAATGGTGGTAGGCAGAAACAGAAGTGTGTAAATGAGCATCACAGAGACCACAATTCCCACAATTCTTTGTTTTTCTTCAGAATTGACAGAGACAGAGGCAGAGAGGGCTTTAAGGGTCCTGACCAGGAAGAATATTAACAGTGGAAAAGGAAGGAGGAGGAAAACGGAAAAGGTGAGTATTTCGACTGATTCATTAACCCAGGGGAACACAGCAAAGTTGAAGACAAGATTTATGACCCAGACCATGACACAGACCGTCACAGAAGTCTTTATAGTGCGTTTGTAGCGGTACCACAGTGGGTCGACGATGACCAAGTACCTGCAATTTGAGAAAGACATGCAGTCTCTGAGTAGGTGCAAGAAAATAAAAGAACATAACTTTCAAACACTGAAGTAGTGCACATGTAAACTTTAGATAGTTACCTTTCCAGAGAGACACACACCATGAAGCAAACACTGGCCATTACTCCACACTCATAAATTCTATTCACCAATGGAACAGCCATTCCATTCTTGGGGCCAAAGACCCACACGATCATGAATAAGAACTGAATGATGTCTGAAATGAGAAGGTTGATGATGTAGATCGGTGCAACATGATCCTTTCTCACCTACAAGAAAGGTAAATAAACAATTGTTAAATCATCCTTTAACAATTATGACATCTCGTGCTCTTATGACCACTCATATATTTTTGTGTAAAATAATGCTCATTACACACTGACACACGACTGATGAACTCAAGATTTAGTGCAGCAGTTACATTAGAGTTTAATGATCAAAATTGGGAGGCATTCCTGCCAAATGATTAGAGAAGCTGTGTTCATGGAAGTCATATATTACTCTAGATTTATTGGGGTCAAGCAATTGACAGCTGTGAGTTTGCAGAGGACTCGAAGAAAAACGTCACAAAACATATTGGATGGGAGTAAGCTGTATTAATTTTTTTTAAAATGCCCAGATGAAGCAAATATTTTTCCTGTGCCTTTGGTGTCATGTGTCCTGCGCCACGCCGTTGGCAAGGCACGAAAATAAAGCCCTTTGTGTATTTTAACTCCCTCTCACTCTTTTTTCCAGATTGTTATGTGTCTTTGAGTGCACTACTTCCCAGCGTTTATTTCCTTGACCATCTTAGCCTAAAGTATTTGTGAACTGTTGCTTGTCTCTGGTGTCAGCATTTGGGGCTATCAGAGTGTGATTTGTGGTATTTGGTGCCTCTACCTGTCTGCCCCACTCTCTGATCAGCTGGTGTCTGTGTGTGAATTAAGTTCCAGTTTCAATTAACCAATCCATCAAACAAAAAAAAAGCTGGTCTTAACCAGACTCTTTTTAAAAAGACCCAATATAAAGATTGGATAAGATTGAGCTCCATCTTGTAAGATCAGACCCACTCCAATCCAATCTTCAACCATGTGAGTGCTGCACTTTGTAGCATTTAGCAAGGGGGGAAAGGGAAAAACTTAGCAATAGAGAGATTCAGAGAAATGGAAAGAGGTGAGATTGATGCATGTAGATGAAGCAGCTGGGATGCAAGCAGGTCAAGAGCCGGCCCAGGCCTAAATTAGCCCTAACTATAGGCTTAATCAATAAGAAGAGTTTTGAGCCCACTCTTAAAGGTAGAAGAGGGTGTCTGCCTCCCAGACCTCGACTGGTAGATAATTCCCGAGGAGACGGGCCTGGTACCTGAAAGCTCTACCACCCAGACCACTTTAGAGACTTTAGGTACAATGAGCAGGCCTGTATACTGGGACCGCAATGTTCTGGTGGGGTAACAGGGAACTATGAGCTCTGTAAGACATGATGGTTTCTGACCATGAAGAGCTTTGTAGTTTAAAAGAAGAATTTTAATTTCTACTTTAAATTTAATGGGAAGCTAGTATAAAGGAGCTAATACAGGGAAGATGTGCTCTCTGTTCTGGTTCTGGTCAGTACTTTGGCTGCAGCATTTTAGACCACCAGAAAAGTCTTTAAAGACAGGCAGCCTGATAAAAGGGAATCATAGCAATCCAACCGAGAGGCGACAAATGTATAGACTAGATTTTCTGTGCCGTTCAGAGGCAGGAGGTTTTCTGAATTTTAAACAGTTGCACGGGTGAAATAAGGCAGTTCTAGACATGTTGATTCTGGAAGTTAATACAGTGGTGTATTAAATCATCATTGTTTCAGCCTCCACCTGAAACGCTTCGTTTTGGATTCTGTAAGTCTAAGATAGTCTTACTAACAGGACTGGATGATGCAGTTGGGGATCGATTTTCTCCATCATTTATATGGCTCAGTCAGACTGAAACTGACCGATAGATTATGCGTACAAAGAGACTTTCTTACTGTAGAAACAACTTTACAGAGCTGTAAAAAGAACTTTCTTTTGTTTGTCTGGAAAAAGGAAATTGATGAGTTAAAGAAGACCCACACAACCCAGCAAAATGAGTCTAGAATGATAAAGCAACAAGTGAATGAACTGAAATCAGAACAAGCATCAAAAGGTGACTATGACCAGATTGATTATTTAGAAAATCAAAGGAACAATCTTGTGATAAATGGTCTGGGCCCTGACAAGGAGGATGAAACCTGGGCTGAGACAGAGGCCAAAGTGCAAGCAATGTTCACTTCACAGCTGAAGATTGAGACCTCGGTGGACATTGAGAGAGCTCATAGAAATGGGAAGTTCAGAGGTGACAGGGAAAAACCTAGAGCTGTGGTGATCAAATTGCTGCACTTTAAGGACAGACAGCTCATCCTGGCCAGAGCGAGAGCCCACCTGAGGAACACCCCTTTTCAAATCGGTGAGGACTTCTCTGAACGGGTGAGGAAGAGGAGGGCCGAGCTGCTTCCTGCTTTGAGGGAGGCGAGAGCAAGAGGTGACTATGCTTTTATAAGCTATGACCGCCTCATGGTGAGGCCAAGGAGAGAAGGCCATTCATCAAGGTCATGACTGTTTCTATCTGACACACGTGTAATATACATCTTTACACTGACAATGTTTCTAGATGTAAATGGTAAAGGACTGCGTATTGCACATCTGAACATCTGTAGTCTCAGAAACAAAATTGATGAGCTTTCTGTACTGCTTCACGACAACAACATACATATTCTGGCTATTTCTGAAACACATTTAGATGCCTCAGTTATTGACTCTGACATAGACATTCCTGGGTATAGCATATTTAGATGTGACAGAGATCGCAGAGGAGGTGGAGTTGCCATCTATATTCAGAATCATATATCTGTTAAAACAAGAGATGATCTCATACACATATCTGTAGAATCCATATGGTTACAAATACACTAACCTAATGTTAAACCATTGCTTGTTGGCTGTTGCTACAGGCCACCAAGCTCTAATTCTCAATATGTTGACAATATTTGTGACATGCTACAGAGGGCAGTGGATGAGAACAAGGAGACATATTTCCTTGGTGATCTAAATATTGACTGGAAATCTAAGACCTGCACTTTAAAAAATAGGCTACTTGTCACTGCGAATGTATGTAATGTGACTCAGATTGTCAATCTGCCAACAAGAATTTCCTGTAACATCACTGGGACTGTCTCTTCTACATGTATAGACCATATTTATACCAACGCTAGTGAACTTTGCTCCAAGGCCTATTCAATCCCCGTAGGATTTAGTGACCATAATATTGTAGTCACTGTGAGGAAAACTAAAATGTCTAAAGCTGGACCCAAAATTGTATTTCAGAGAATGTATAGATCTTTCAATGAGGAGAATTCTGTAAAAGAAATACAGGAGTTGAGCTGGCATAGGATATGTACCATACAGGAGACTGACGTTGCTCTTGAGCTCTTCTCTTCACAGACATGGTACTGAAAGTAATTGACAAGCATGCTCCGCTTAGAAAGTTCACTGTAAGAGGCAACTCTGCTCTTTGGTTTGATGATGAATTGAGAGGCACAATGTCTGACAGAGTGTCACACTCTGCTGCAGGCTGACTCTCACTCACCTCCCTGCCACACCTCCTCATTAGCACTGATTCCCCACACCTGTGAGTGACAAGCTGCAGCTCCTTACTACTGATTAGTCAGCCAGTATATAAGTCAGTCTGTGTCCCTCAGTCAGTGCCAGATTGTCTTCGCAGCATGCACGACTCTCCAGCATTACTTCTTGGATTGACTTCTCGGTTTCGACTCCTGCCTGTCCCTGACCACGTCTTATCGTCTCAGCCCTTGGATCCCCTGTCAAGTTTCTTCGCTCCGGTGAGAACTTCAGGTTTTGCTGTGTTGCTGGCTTCCCGACCTACTGCCTGTCCATGACTATCCTTCCGCCTGATCCCTCTGGAGTTAGTCTGCCCCGCTGATTGTCTGCCTGGATTTGACATTGCCTCCACTTCGACCACGAGCCCAGCCTGCCCCTCGACAGTGCCGCTGCACTTCACAAAAACTCTCAGGTGTAGTATGTTTTCTGTGTGCACCCACCTTTCTGCCTGTTGGACCTGTTTACTGTTGATCTCGGAGATTCTACAGAGACTGCTAAATCAATCCCACTATCTTCAGTTAGCTATTTGCTGTGAACTGTTACAATAAAAGTATCTTCTAAACAACTACCTGCCGTTGTGCTGCACTTGGGTCCTACATCCACACCCCTGACAGTTCACAGCAAATAGCTAACTGAAGATAGTGGGATTGATTTAGCAGTCTCTGTAGAATCTCCGAGATCAACAGTAAACTGATCCACAGGAAACAGGTCCAACAGGCAGAAAGGTCTCAAAAGGCATATTTTCAGGAAGCGAGCAGCTAAAGTAATCCCTATCATAAAGAACAAAAAGAATGCCTTTAATGGGTCCAATTGTAGACCAATCAGCATTCTTCCTGTGCTCAGTAAGATTTTGGAGAGAATTGTAGTTAATCAAATATTGATATACTTTACCTCATCTGACTTTCCTTTGCATTTTAAGTGTAAGTGTTCTCAATGTGTACAGGCTCACATGATTAAATTTAGGTCAATGGAGAAGCTAAAATTAAATCCAGATCCTTTACAGACAGACACACTATTTTACAGAAACATGACAGAGACATTAAATGAGTGAAGTCATATTGTACCTACCAGAGAGTAAAGAGCATAGATGGTCACGAGCGTCAAGGGGAGGCCAATAGAGATGATTATGCATGTACAAACATACACAATAAAATTAATCTTTTCGTAGTACCAAAGTGCAGCGAAGAAGTAGTCTTCTGTGGGTGAGGTGATGTTATTGTAGATATTTTCCATTCTTCAGAGTCTACAAAAAATTATACACACAAATAAGGCCATGATCTCCACAAATTAGTAAGAAATAGATAAAACGCTGCTGCTCCTCTTGTTTGTTTAGTTCATTCAAAGTTTAGTTGCCAGTCCAGTATTCATGGTGTAACAGAGTTAGAACTTAAATGGTCTTTGTGGTTGTAGAATTTGATTTATTTTTAAATTTAATATGTAGTCTGTCTTGAGTTAAAAAAAAAAAAGTTAATTTTTTATCTATTTATTTTTTCATGATCGCATCATTTTGTTTTTAACTGTTATCTGTCTTCGATAATGTAACTCTAACCTGCAGGAGGAGTGTTATCAATAATCACAAACCCACAGTTATTTTCATGCTTTAGTTATTATTGTTAGCCACATAAGAGAAAGATCTTTATGAACACTCCTCATGAGATACAGTTCAGTGACTGCAAATGAGAAAACTCTAAATTTATTCACAAGGAGAAAAAAAAAATGTTTTTTAGATCTCACCTGAATGAAGTCTTTGCACCAGTTTCTGTTATTTCCTTGCTTCCAAACTGTCTATCACACTCATCAGGTCTATAATGATGCTTCACTTTTCTTCTAAGGAAGTTAAAAAAAAAAATGTCACTGTTGATCTCGTGTTTACTGGGGAAGGCAGAAATTGCATAAGCACAAACTGTGTGTGTGATAAGGAAAAATCTTTTTTCACATGTTACTAAAATCATTATTCATGTCCTACTCCAAAGAGACAAACATGTTTTATTTCACATAAATTTTTATTTGCTTGTACTGGATGATTTTCAGTTGTGTACATCACCTGAAGGCTGTAAATATGAGTGGATTCAAATTTAGTGTATTTGCACATCATAGAACAAAACATCATTTTCTTTAATTTTCAAGATCTCTGATGTGACGTTGTCTTCTGTCTCACGTGGTTCTCTAAGCTTACTGTGCGCATATCGAGTTCACCCAAATTGCCTTTTTGGAGTTTTGAGTTGAGCTCAGCAGCTCTTAGTTAATGAATCTCAAGTTTGTGCTTGAGAGTGAGATAAGGAGATGATGAAACCAGATATCAAGTAGACTTGATATCAAGTTTCCTCCTTATGAGGCCAAGCTGCTGAAAAAAATTGATAAGCGGCGTAAATGTTTGTAGTTAATTTAACATTTAACATAACATACAACACATACATAAATAACAAGTCAATACACAAATATGGTGAGGACGAAACAGCGGAGAAAGGCAGGGAGGGTGTGTGCATGTTGGGATTGGGGAGACTGGGACTAGGAGAGCAGACTACAACGATAAATTAACTTGTTTGTGTTTTACTAGTTTACTTCAGCAGGTTTAAAAACTGTCGAGTTGTCAAGGGTCTAGTTGCTACTGGCATATATTTGTTTTCCAAGTCAAAGTTATTTCTTGTCATTGAAAGATAATAAAAATGCCTTTTTTCAATTAGTAACTTCAAATAACAGGAAATATCATGAGATAAGCTACAGGCAGTTGTTGGAAAAAGGGTGGTTTTTCCTGAATGGGTACACTTAAATTTAATTTCCAAAACACACAAAAAAAAAGTACTGACTCATGTTAACTTTCTGACTTTCTGACTCTAATTCCTTAAGTATCCCTGACCCTTTCCCCACATGGTCGTTGATGGGAAGAAGAGAAGACGAGGATTCAGAAGAGTTCTCAGTTGAAGCTCCATTTTATTAATGAGTCAAGAATATGCAAACAAAGATCTTTGGGCTCAAATTTGCTCATCCTACCAAACAGACAACTAAGAGGTCTGAGCGCTTCAGAGCCCCGACTAACTTTCCCTTGAACCCTTTATAGTCGAGGATCCAGCTGTCTAGTAAAAGAGTTTCCTACACTTGATGTTGTCTTCGTGTGTAGGCTGGTACATGTTTCTTCTTCACCTCTCACATAGATGGGTCCAGGTGTTTACCTAATAAGAAGTTGTGTTATGCATTCTACACTCATCTCTAACACACAACCATTTAATCATACAGTTTAGCTGTTGCTGGAAAGATGATCTAATTAAGCTAAAAAAAAAAAGTGTTTCTCATAGACGCAAATCACTGACACCCTCCTAAGTTCTATCACCCTTCTTTTTTAGATGCTCTAACCGCAGAGCACACTCTACCCACGTCCTTTTTCATCGACTTCCTTCAAAAACAGCACACGAACATCTCTATCACAAGACCTCTTACTTACCAACTATCAAGACAAGCCAAAGCTGAAACCTCCATATTATGGATACTGATCTTTTCCTACAGGGGGATCTATAGCCTCCCTGGAGCTTTTATCCTTCTTCCTGTTATCCATCAGTATATGACTACAATAAACACAATTGTTAATTCTTTACGGATTGCCACTTGTCTGCTGGTGCCACAACAGCACCAGAAGACAAGTTCCTGAGTCAACAGCTTGCGTAATAGGCAGCTCACAGGACAACGGCTTCAAGCACATCTTTTTGGGAACTCAAATTTACATGGTAATATAGCTAGTATTTAAAGAACCAGGTGGCAATTTTACAAAAATGGCTACAATTTTGAAATTCAAGTGGCTGTGAGCAGTTTCTGATCAAATGACCCACATAATTTTGGAGTGTCTAATGTCATATTTCAAAAGAGGGACATTTACAGAGTATTTGTGCCAAGTTTCATGCTTGCATCACAATTTGAATGATTTTTTCACTTTCCCGCTGTACTAAATAGAGGCCACAGCATTTGTCTGTAGACAAGTCAACTCTGAGTTTGTCTGATGATAAACAGAGTCCCATGAAAGATGATCAGATTATGTTAGAGATTGCAGATTGCAATTTTTCAATCCTTGAAGAGAGCAGGTATGAGGTTTAAACACTGGATAGAGAGTGAAAATGTCAATCAATAGAGAAATGATCAAACATAACAGAGTAGATGGATGGTTCATCATCAGTCTTTGAGAGGTTTTAGTTAGTACTGCTGTACTTCATAACACACTTTCCAAAAATGGTAAAACCAGAAGATATTCTTTGTTCTATAATTAAGAAAGAACCAACAGAAATCTAATTTTCAGATGTATATGAAGACACAAGTAGACATTTTTTTAAAATCATTTGGGTTTTGAGATATTTAATGAAACAATAACAAAAGGGAAAACAATGATAATCTTGAACTGGGTTGGTTAATTAGCTGCATGAATTGTTTATCAAAAGAGAGTGTTTCCATTCTCTTTCAAATGATGTTACTTGACTTTTTAATACACCTTTGCTATTCATGCCTGTAGCTATATTTCCAAAATCAGGCAGAGATTATCAGCAAACCATCTGCCATGTTTCAATCTTGTCTGCCTTATCAACACTATATGCTGGGAACTAAAACATCAGACTTTCCACAGGTTATATGTTGATCACTTTGTCAAATAAACAAATTCAAAATCAATGAAACTGTTTTGTAATACAGACAAAAATTGTAACAATCAAGCAGAAGATGGATGGATAGTCTTAGATAGTCTAATATTTTTTGGAGGTAACTGAATAAGAGCCAAAGGCTTGATATGTTTTCATCCTATCCCCTGTACTTAACTTTGCTTGTTACATCAATGCAAGTGTTATCTGATGTTTATGGTTTTCCTGGAAATGATGAAAGTGGAGAAAATGAGTGTTATGTAACCATGTGATAATCAATAAGGTCTCCCTTGGAAATATTAACAAACATAAACACAGTCGATCATTTCCTATGCCTCATAGGTTATAAAGATTCAAGAAACTGAAGATAGAGTAGGTAGACAGAAAACTGTAACTGGTGATAATAGGTGTTGGGGCTTCAGTTGTTTGGTTCATAGACTCATGGCTCTATTTTCATGATCTTAAGGTAAAACAGGATAAACTTAAAACAAATAGAACCATGATGAACATTTCAAAATGTACCTAATCCCAGAACACTTGCTCTGGTGATGCAGATGTCTCTCTGCGTGCACAGGGGTGTCTTTATCTACCACTAGTTCAATGTCTACAAAAACTACCATTTCAAAACATTCTCACAGGACAGTAGTTACTTTGCCAGTGGTTTCTCACACCCTTAGCAACAATTCTCTCTTGGATTTCACTCTCCTTTAATAAGAAAGTCAGCCTATGGGAATGTCTCTGGAGCACACGTCAAGCGCAGGTTGAGCAGGTGTATGAAGAGTATGTACAATCACCACTGTGCAGATGGAGGGCAGACTCACAACAACACTTGTTTTTTTCAGGAGAAAGAAACTGACTTCTGCATGATCAGCACTGCAAATATTTCAGGATATTTCTTTAAACGTTCTCCATCAGTGGTGTAATAGTGTGTGAAACAGAAACTCCTACAGTCATTTCTTGCACAGCAGCGCCCTCTGGTGGGACCACATTGCCAACACTCACTGCAGATGTGTGACTGTCATTGCTCTCCTCTTTGCAACAACACACAGAGGCCAACAGCTTGCCCATGGTGGCCTTTCTAATGAAAATATACAGAACTAAGTCTGCAAGAGGACTCAACTGTATTAATAAATTACACAGGCTACGTGCTAAAAAACTGTAAAATCCAGCCTCCTCTACAAGAAACATAATGGTGATAGGCAGAAACAGAAGTGTGTAAATGACCAGCACAGAGACCAAAATTCCCACAATTCTTTGTTTTTCTGCAGAATTGACAGAGACAGAGGCAGAGAGGGCTTTAAGGGTTCTGACCAGGAAGAATATAAACAGTGGAAAAGGAAGGAGGAGGAAAATGGAAAAGGTGAGTCTTGTGACTGATTCATCAACCCAGGAGAACACAGCAAAGGTGAAGACAAGATTTATGACCCAGACCATGACACAGACCACCACAGAAGTCTTTATAGTGTGTTTGTAGCGGTACCACAGTGGGTGGACGATGACCAAGTACCTGCAATTTGAGAAAGACATGCAGTCTCTGAGGAAGTGCAGGAAAATAAAAGAACATAACTTTCAAACACTGAAGTAGTGCACATGTAAACTTTAGATAGTTACCTTTCCAGAGAGACACACACCATGAAGCAAACACTGGTCACTAGTCCACACTCATAGATTCTATCAATGAAGTAATAAGCCATTCCTGTCATTCCTCCCATGGGGCCAAAGACCCACACGATCATGATTGAGAACTGCATGATGTCTGAAATGAGAAGGTTGATGATGTAGATTGGCGAAACATGATCCTTTGTCACCTACAAGAAAGGTAAATAAACAATTGTTAAATCATCCTTTAAAGGTCCAATATTATGAAAAAATCACTTTTGGGCGATTTTCTACCAATAATATGCATCCCCTGCAAGACAACAACCTCCTCGACATGAACAAAATTTTATTCTCTCCCTCTCTTGCTTTCCTCTCCTCTCTGAAAATGAGCGCAAACAGGCGGATTGAAAAGCTTATGACGACATAACCGCATAAGCCCCTCCTTTGTGTTGGTGGCACTGCCCCCGATTATCTTTGTTCGTCAACAAAAATGTTGTTTGTGAGTGCTAACCATTTAACCATGGACTGTTTAACCAACGAGAGGCAGTTCAAAGCAGGATTTGCTAAGAAGCTGAAGATAAAACCTGGATTCCTACTGAATGTCTGTCTCAGGGACCTAACGTCAAACGTGGAAGCTGTAAGTTTTACCATTTTATGTTGCTTTACTGCTGCCCGTATGACAAGTGCTTTGGCTGCAATCACGTGTTTTTACTATCTTAACTAAACATTTACTAAATTTAAAATAGACAACACATCGAAAATGATACAAATCAAAAACGAATAGAACAAATACCCCATGATTATTCCATTCTCTCATATTCTATTATTAATTTCAAAACAAAATCAAAACAGCGAAAAATAGGCCATTATTTGTTTTCCGAATTTCGATTTGAAAACGAGAAACGAAATAACATGTTGTTATTCGTTTTCCGATTTTGGATTCTAAAACGGATATGGAATGAACGAATGATACACTGATAGTTTACCATTGTTTGTATTCGTCTTCAGACTCGCTTCTATTTATTTTTATTCCCGTGAGCAGCATGTGTTCCTCTGGGGCGCGGAGGCAGGCTGGTGCTTCCAGCCACGGTGGTCTGGAGGCCCTCTGAAGAGGTTCTCGGAAGATCTCCAGACCACCACTCCTGGACCTTCATTTAGGCTATTCAGATAAGCCCAAAACAATAGCCCTCTGATTCAGAATATTTGCTGTGCCGAAAATATAATGCTCTCTACCTTGACAGCTTACTGTACAGTTTATATACCTAAGTACACCTCTATATTCAACAGCATAGAACCTGCAGCTCAGAGTGGCCTTGGGGAGGGAGAGCATGCTTACACACAGCTCATTATCATTTAAAGGTACAGGCGCAGAATCAGCCCATTCTCAGTTGAGTTAAAAAAGAAGGGGGTACAGGCTGGCTGATATCCACAAACAAACTGGTGTTTCAGACAACAAACTTCAAATTTACTATTGTGGGACCTCTGGGACCGATTTAAACTTGATTAAAAAAATGCCATAATGGGAGACCTTTAACAATTATGACATCTTGTGCTGTTATGTACATTTTTTTTGGAATATTGTGACTCTTTGAGATGGAACAAACACCATCACAAAACATATTGGATGCAGGTAAGCTTTATTAAATTTTTTAAAAATGTTAGGATGCAGCAAATATTTTCTCCTGTGCCTTCGGTGTCACGTCCTCTGGCAAACCACAGTTTACTTCTGGCCCTCCACCCTCATATGTGCTCCTCTCCAGCTGAAGCGGATCTCTGTAATGTTTTACACCTGAGGCCTGTACTACGAAGCTGGATTTGATCTTGGTGAGATAACTTCTAGGTTTTTCCATACTACGAAGTTTTGTCAGAAACGAGTAGCAAAAGTTTATGATCAACCACATCTTAATTTCTTTTAGATGTGCTTCAAGTAAAGTTAATCTGTTGGTATCTCCTGGTTTCAGTAGTAGGTATAGTTAAGTGTCATCTGTGAAGAACCATATCCTTTCAAGTTTTCTGAATGTTTGTGTCACTTAATGGGTTTCAGCAATCTTGTTCACATCAGTTTATGATGCAAACAAGATTGTGTCCTGATAAGACCAACCCCGAAAACTGTTTTAACACCCAAAAGCATCCTGTGATATGGGAAAAACAATGTGCATATAACTGTTACATACAGTACCTTTACATGGAAAAAAAAAAATCTGTTTATCTATAATCTGACCAAATATATTACATATGAGTCTGACTGAGTTAAAACTAAATAAAAATTTTGATAGTCATACTAACAGACCTGAATGATGCAGTTGGGGATCGATTTTCTCCATCATTTATACGACTCAGTCAGACTGAAACTGACCAACAGATTTTGTGCACTCAGCAGATGTGTAACGCCTGGTTCACACTGGAAGCGCCGCGCGCGGAACGGCTCGCGCTCTGGAGCGCGGCTGCTCCGCTTCTCTCTTTTTTTGGCGCGAGCCGCGCGCGCCGATGTAAAGCTCAACAGAGCAGATCGGACCAGACAGGAAGTCAGGAAGGAGATGCGAGAGAATCCAGTCAATTTTCAAAATAAAGTAAATTTCAATAAATTAGAAAAGGATTGACGGTGTTGCTTGTCGGTCTATTTTTTTTTACCGATGAACACACACACACACACACACACACAAACACACACGGAGGGAGAGCTGCAGAGATTCAGTGATGTTATTGAGACAAAGGGGGGGGACGACAACTTTATTACGAGACAGTCAATAGCCTCGAGCTAACAAGGCTATACACACAACGGAGTCAACAGACTCCCCAATTTGTTCGTCGTTTACCCCTTTATAATTTTTTAAAACAATACTTGAAGATGCTGTCACATTTAATTTATGTATGACGAAATAAAAACGTAAATAAATAGTGATTTACCCATTTTTAAAGCGCTCGTAAGTGTGGAAAACTGAGGGCAGACGGAAACGGCCGAGCACTACCGGGCTCAGTCGATGTCTGACCGGCATGTTAGAGCGCAGCAGAAAGCGCTTCCTGTGTGAACAGCCAAGCGCGCGGCGCTTCCTTCCTGTGAAGCTGTGCAGTAAACTAAAACTTCCACAGATGAAGAAAGAAAGTAAAAAGACAACACTTTCCTCTTGTACAAACAAATGGTACAGGGCTGTAAAAGGGACATTTTTTGTTTGTCTGACAACTTGTTTTTAACAGTAGAAGGAGGGTTTCACCTACAATCATGTACATGGTCATGCTTCTGTCAATAGTTCAATTTTTGTCTAGTGCATGTGGACTGGAACAAGGACAGAAGTCCAGTTAAATGGCCTGATTGAGCTATGACTGTAACTTGACTTAGCTGTGCATGTAGATATACTGATGGTTTCATTGATCAAATAACAGAACAAGTTTTCCCTCCTTTGTATATGTGAATGTGTGTGGTTGCACACACAGCTACCTGTGCTTCATATGTGAATGAAGGACCTGTTATTTCATGTAAATAAGATTGTCTACAGTCCTGCTCACCTGAGGAGAGAGGGGGAAAGACAGGAGCTCAGTGCCGGTTATCCCTGCGGTCTTAGCGTATAGCGGCACAACTAAGAGCTGGCTCAAGCCTCAGCAGCCCTAACTATCAGCTCTATATCTCAAAAGGGAAGTTTGAAGTGAGGGTGTTTGCCTCCTTCAACAACTGGGCTGTCAGCTTTCCTCGATTATATAATACATATAAAACTGCATTTTTTACTTCATTTTCAATAGATAGATGGACACACTTTTTCACAGAAACATGACAGAGACAGTAAATGAGTGAAGTCATTTTGTACCTACCAGAGAGTAAAGAGCATAGATGGTCAACAGAGTCAAGGGGAGGCCAATAGAGATGATTATGCATGTACAAACATACATAATATAATAAATCTTTTCGTAGTTCTGTTCAGGGAAGATTGTATCATAGTAGTCTTCAATGGGTGAAGTGGTGTTCTTGTAGATATTTTCCATTCTTCAGAGTCTGACCTAAAGTTGAAGAGATCAAGGACAAGAAAGTTACAAAAAAAAATTATACACACAAATAAGCCATGATCTCCAGAAATGATTAAGAAATAGATAAAATGCTGCTGCTCATGTTTGTTTGGTTCATTCAAAGTTTAGTTGTTAATTCAGCGTTAAAGGTGCAACAGACTTCAAACTTGAATGGTCTTTGTGGTCAAGGCAGTCCTTTTTACTTTGAAGTTGTAGAATTTGATTTATATGTTTCTGGTATATCGTCTGTGTTTAGTTTTTAAAAAAGGCTGTTTGATTACGTTATTTTTTTAATTATTATTTTTTTTCTACAGTAGCATCATTTTTTTTTAAAAACTGTTATCTGTCTTAAATAACTCTAACCTGTAGGAGGAGTGTTATCAATAATCACAAACCCACAAAATTATTTTCATGCCTCGGCTATTATTGTTAGCTAAATTAACAAAAGATCTTTATGAACACTCCTCATGAGATACAGTTCAGTGACTACAAATCAGAAAACTCTAAATTTATTCACTAGGAGAAAAAAAAAGATCTCACCTGAATGAAGTCCTTGCACCAGTTTCTGTTGTTTCCTTGCTTCCAAACTGTCTATCACACTCACCAGGTTTCAAATGATGTATCACTTTTCTTCTAAGGAAGTAAAAAAAAAATGGCACTGTCGACCTCGCACAAACTGTGTGTGTGATAAGGAAATACATTTTTTCACATTTTGCTAAATTCAAGATGCATGTCCTACTTCGAAGAGACGAAAGTGTTTTTATTTCACATTTATTTATTTGTACTAGCTCTGCTCCTGGCATATTATTGTTTTTCCAGTCAAAGTTATTTCTTGACATTAAAAGATAATTATAGTGCCTTTTTTAATTAGTAACTTCAAATAACAGGAAAATATCATGAGATAAGCTACAGGCAGTAGTTGGAAAAATGGTGGTTTTCCTGTCACCTTAATGGGTTCTCTTAAATTTAATTTCCCAAAAACACACACAAAAAGTACTGTCTCTCACCCTTTTTCTGCGTGGTCGTTGATGGGAAGAAGAGAAGACGAGGATTCAGAAGAGTTCTCAGTTGAAGCTGTATTTAATTAATGAGTCAAGAAAGTGCAAACAAAGATCTTTGGGTTCAAATTAGCTTATCTTACCAAACAGACAACTAAGAGGTCTGAGCGCTTCAGAGCCCCGACTAACCTTCCCTTGAACCCTTTATCGTCGAGGATCCGCCTGTCTAGACAAAGAGTTTCCTACACTTGATGTTGTCTTCGTGTGTAGGCTGGTTCATGTTTATTCTTAACCTATCACATAGATGGGTCCAGGTGTTTACCTAATAAGGAGTTGTGTTATGCATTCTACACTCATCTCTAACACACACCCATTCAATCATACAGTTTACCTTATGCTGGAAAGATGATCTAATTAAGCTTTAAAAAAAAAGCGTTTATCATAGACGCAAACGACCCCCCCCCCCCCCCAAGATGCTCTAACCGCGGAGCACACTCTCCCCACATCCTTTTTCATCGACTTCCTTCAAGAACAGCACACAAACATCTCTATCCAGTACAAGACCTCTTACTTACCAACTATCAAGACAAGCCAAAGCTGAAACTGATACTATAGGGTAGGATCCGCGGCTCGGCCAGATTCTTTTTCAGGCAGGGCATCTGGTGCTGGGTGAAGGCCTCTGGTGTCTGTCTGGTGTACAACAGCGTCGACGTCATCAATCAAGGGATGTCTTTGGATAAGGATTAGCAAAGTTAGTTGTTTTCTTTACTCGAATATTGACACACTGTATGTACACATGATACGCACCTTTTACTTGACTGTGATGTCTCTCCTACTGATTTGCGCTTTCGCTGCTGCTGCTTGCTCACCTTTGCCACTTGAGATTAAGAAATAGAAAAAAAACAGAGAAATGGTGTAAAACAATTTTGCATGTTCCAGCACCCATGGAATTGTATACGAATATCTTGAGACGTACCTTGAAAATCATCATCATTTTCTATAATGATCGGGTATGTCCGACCCCAGAAGTCGGCACCCGTGGGGTACCTGCAAAAAATAGGTGGTTAGTTATGTGTTTACTAAATAGAAAAAAAAAATACTGTTGTAGTTAGACAGACTCTCATTCGTATTAATAGGCGGCTTGGCTTTCGATTTGTTCTTTCTACTCAGCTTATTTACCTTTGACTTGTTACCTTTGGCTTTAAAACAGATAAAGACATGATAATATAAGGTGAGTAAGGCACATTTGAAAAAAAAAATGTTGTATAATAAAGACATTGTAGATACTCACATACTCGCAGCAAGATCCATGGCAGAACAGGAATTGTTGATTTTGCAGGATGTGAAAAACCACAAACACGACTAAATGAATCAGAGGTGGGCTTGGGACGCCATTTATACTTACCAAGGTTTGACCGGGCCCCTATAGGCTGTACCAAATCCTCCCATTTTAACACGTTCACAGGATTATAGACCAATCAAGCAAAACACATGACAACATAAAAAACCCCCACATATTTCTCAGACACATCTACAACTGTTGATAAAAAAACAACAAATCTGATCAGCATACGTAAAGACCTTTTGCTTGACACAAAACACTTACAGAGAATATGGCTTTTTACGTTGATTTTTTTCTAGCACTTTGGTATGCATTTTGCCTTTCCTTTCAGTAAAGTGTGTCGATTTTCACAAAAGGTTTTAAACTCAAAAATTATTCCTGCCTTTGCTTTACACTGGCAAACTATGCTCATATCATGACCATTGATTATACCAAATATATACGCTCAGTACAGGCAACCAGTCTGTGGAACGAACTGCAGGATTAACATTATGGTGACTTGCAACGTTAGATCAGAAGTATGATCAGCGAATTGTATTTAGCCTTTCTAGAGTCCTAACAGCAGGATGTTGCGTGTAACTAGTTGAAAACAAATGAACTTTAATGAAAGGATTTCCCTTTGTGTGTGTGTGTGTGTGTGTGTGTCTGTGTCTGTTGGGGAGGCGGCATGTGTGAAAAAAGGAAGTTAGTGGGTGACAAAAGTCTGTCCCTGCATCCTGTTGCTCTGAGATCAGAAGGTGAAACAGCATACTTAAAGACCTTCTGCTACACACCAAACACTTACTGAGAATGTCACTTTTATTGTTTTATTTTTTAAATTTTCGCAAAAGGTTTTAAACTCAAAAAATAATTCCTGCTTTTGCCTTACACTTGCAAACTAGGCTCATATCATGACCATTGATTATACCTCAGTAAAGACATGCAGTCTGTTGCTTTCCTTATAAAGACATGAATCAAGTAAAAGCTGAAAAAACAACCAAAACACTACTCTCCCTACCCTGAGGCACACTGTATACTGTAAGTTAACATCTTAGTGGTTAGATGGGATCAAAAGTTTGTTTACCAACATATGATGTACACTAATTCACCTCATCCCAAATTACTGGATATCACAGGATCTGACGTCACTTCCCCCTCCCACCAGGATGTGACGTCAGTCATCTTTCACCCGGATATGACTTCACACCCGGATGTGACGTCAGTCTCACACCCCCACACCACCCCTCCCCCCAAAAAGTGGGGGTTACTTACTACTGGTTCATCATCGTCTTTGAGAGGTTTTAGTTTGTACTGCTGTACTTCATAACACACTTTCCAAAAAAAGCAAATCCAGAAGATATTCTTTGTTCTATAATTTACAGACACCCAACAGAAATCCAATTTTCAGATGTATATAAAGACACAAATAGATTTTTTTTTTAAATCATTTGGGTTTTGAGATATTTAATGAAACAAAAACAAAAGGGAAAACAATGATAATCTTGAACTGGGTTGGTTAATTAGCTGCATGAATTGTTTATCAAAAGAGAGTGTGTATGTTTCCATTCTCTTTCAAATGATGTTACTCGACTTTTAAACACACCTTTGCTATTCATGCCTGTAGCTTTATTTCCAAAATCAGCATAGATTATCAGGAAACCATCTGCCAGTTTTCCATCTTGTCTGTCTTGTGAACACTGTATGCTGGGAACTAAAATATCAGACTTTCCACAGGTTTTATGTTAATCACTTTGTCAAACAAACAAATCCAAAATCAATGAAACTATTTTGTCATTCAGACGAAAAATGTAACAATTGAGCAGAAGATGGATGGATAGTCTTAGATAGTCTAATATTTTTTGGAGGTAACTGAATAAGAGCCAAAGGCTTGATATGTTTTCATCCTATCCCCTGTACTTAACTTTGCTTGTTACATCAATGCAAGTGTTATCTGATGTTTATGGTTTTCCTGGAAATGATGAAAGTGAAGAAAATGAGTGTTATGTAACCATGTGATAATCAATAAGGTCTCCCTTGGAAATATTAACAAACATAAACACAGTCGATCATTTCCTATGCCTCATAGGTTGCAAAGATTCAAGAAACTGAAGATAGAGTAGTTAGACGGAAATTTGTGACTGGTGATAATAGGTGTTGGGGCCTCAGTTGTTTGGTTTATGGATTCATGGCTCTCGCTTCATGATCTTAAGGTAAAACAGGATAAACTTAAAACAAATAGAACCAATTTCTGAACATTTCAAAATGTACCTAATCCCAGAACGCTTGCTCTGTTGATGCAGATGTCTCTCCGCGTGCACAGGGGTGTCTTTTTATCTACCACTAGTTCAATGTCTACAAAAACTACCATTTCAAAATTTAAAGACAACGTTCTCACAGGACAGTAGTTACTCACACCCTTAGGAACAATTCTCTCTTGGATTTCACCCTCCTTTGCTAAAAAAGGTGGCATAGATCTCTGCAGCCTTTTGCCACTAAGGATATGAAGAACTTTATTAATCCCCGAAGGGAAATTCAGTTGTCTGTAGTCTCATTTTCCATGTCCCTGAAAGTCATCTACTAATTACAGAAGAGTTGTACAGTATGATGGCTGTGGGAACAAAAGTCAAATTTTGTCTTTTTTTTTTCTCCCCAGAGCAACACATTTTCCCTATTACTGTGTACAGCCAGTGTATAGGTCATTTGTTATCAGTGCAAAAAAATTGCTGTTACAACACATGTTCATGCAGTATGCAGTACCCATAGTAGCTGTATCTTTACTCATTTTTCTCTAAATCTAATAAAGTCATCAGAAAATAAAAATAAAACAGATTTGATAACACTGCAAAAAAAAAAATACACAATAATCTATTAGTGACAAACATAAAATATTAACAGGGTATATATTTAAGGGCATGTTAAAAATATCTTATAATAAAAAAAGACATGCTTCATTTTGTAATTATGACCAATGTTTATTTGATGACTTATATTTCTTAATCAGTACAATAAAAATATTGAATTACATTCTCAGAGCTTCTTTTTTCCCACCGCTGGTGTTTTAAGCATAAGAATTTGGTGGGACCACACAATATTCACATAAGAAATCAAAGAAATTTACATGCCATACCTTACATTCAACTATACCTGCACAACAAAGAAACTGTGTGTAACTGAGAGAGGGGGGTCACAGTGCCAGTGACCAGAAAGTTAAGGCTAACTAAACCATTCAAATGACACAGAGAATGAAAGCCTGGTACAATATCTTTGCATACATCAACAGCACCAGCAAAAAAGAGAGCTAAAGATCTCCAAATATCAAAGTGACGGTATCAACACAATAAAAACACTCAAACAAACAAAAAAAAAGAAAAATCCAGAAGGCTGGTAAACACATAGGTTTAAGGTTGTTTGTTTGTTTTACAAAGTACATGTTCTGCAAGGTGCTCCACATGAAGAAAATGCTGACCCATTGTCTATACACATGTGCAGCATATACATCAAACAATGTTATAAAAAGAAAGACAATTTAACAGGTTAAACACAATTAAAAGCAAGGAAATAAAAGCAGGTCTTAGGGTGTTTCTTAAAATCCTCAAAAGCCAACAAGCTCCATCTGGAGAACCGGAGAGTCTGGTGTTTGCAGCCTCAAGAAAATCTACATATGAAACGCATATTAAAGGTTATCTGATCTCAGGACGCAAGATCATAATAATCTTTCCAAGCTAGTCTGAACCCTCATTTTACACAGTAACCCAACAAGAGATTCACTTTTACTGGTCAATATGAAAAACAGAGACAGAGAGTAACCCTAACCTCACCAATAATAATATTAGTGCATGAATAACTTCCAGATCAGAGGGTTAGGTTCTAACCTTAGCTAAGGCTCTTTGTTTAGAAAGGCTAAAAAAACTGTATGTACCTTTTCACTGAAACTTTACTCTATTTATTAACCAAGTAAATCAAATATTTATCTCAATAGTGCCCACCTTTGTGCCAGTCCAGTCTACCTATGGGAATGTCTCTGGAGCACACATTGAGCGCAGGTTGAGCAGGTGTATGAACAGTATGTACAATCACCACTGTGCAGATGGAGGGCAGACTCACAACAACACTTGTTTTGTTTTGTTTTTTCTTCAGGAGAAAGAAAATGACTTCTGCATGATGAGAGCTGCAAATATTTCAGGATATTTCTTTAAAACATTCTACTTAAGTGGCCTGATTGTGTGAGAAACAGAGAAGCCTACAGTCATTTCTTGCACAGCAGTGCCCTCTGGTGGGACCACATTGTCAATATTCACGGCACCTGTGTGACGGTCATACACACAGAGGCCAACAGCTTGCCCATGGTGGCCTTTCTAATGAAAATATACAGAACTAAGTCTGCAAGAGGACTCAACTTTATTAATAAATGACACAGGCTACGTGCTAAAAAACTGATGTGAAATCCAGCCTCCTGTACAGGAAACAAAACGGTGATGTGGTAAGGAAAATCATTTACATGTCTTTTAATTCATAATGTGTGTCCTACCCTGAAGAGACAAACATGTTTTTAATTCACATTTTATTTATTTGTACTAGATCTGATACTGGCAAATTATTGTTTTTCCAGTCAAAGTTATTTCTTGACATTAAAAGTTAATTACAGTGCCTTTTTTAATTAGTAACTGAATTTAACTTCAATTAACAGGAAAATATCATGAGATAAGCTACAGGCAGTTGTTGGAAAAAGGGTGGTTTTTCTGTCACCTTAATGCGTACGCTTAAATTTAATTTCCAAAACACACACAAAAAAAATAATGATTCCTTAATTATCCCTTACCCTTTTCCTGCGTGGTCGTTGATGGGAAGAAGAGAAGACGAGGATTCAGAAGAGTTCTCAGTTGAAGCTCTATTTCATTATTTACAGGAGTCAAGAATGTGCAAACAAAGATCTTTGGGCTGAAAATTAGCTCATCCTACCAAACTGACAACTTAGAGGTCTGAGCACTTCAGAGCCCCGACTAACTTTCCCTTGAACCCTTTATAGTCGAGGATCCACCTGAGTTTCCTACACTTGATGTTGTCTTCGCGTGTAGGCTGGTTCATGTTTCTTCTTTATCTCTCACATAGATGAGTCCAGGGGCTCTAT